TTTTTCAGTTTTATCTGTACTTTATTTATTTTACTCATTTTTCATCAATTTTCACATTTCATATATTTATTTTTATATTTTTCATTTTTCATTTTAATGCTCTTTTTTCAATTACAGTATTTATCGATTCAATCATTATTCATCATTACTTATCTCTATTATTATTATTATTTTTCTTATTATTATTGTTATTATTATTATTATTATTATTATTATTATTATTAATTACATTTCATTATTTATATATATTTATAATAATTATTTATATTTTTTATTTTTAATTAAAACAATTATTTATTTTTATTATAAAAATTATCATAATAATAATAATTATTGCTAATAATATTATTAATTCTCTCCTATTTTATTATAATAAATATTATCATTATTTATATATATTTATAATAATTATTATATTTTTTATTTTTAATTAAAACAATTATTTATTTTTATTGTAAAAATTATCATAATAATAATTATTATTGCTAATAATATTATTAATTCTCTTCTCTATTTTTATTATAATAAATATTATTAGAAAAAAAATTTCTATTTTTAAATTAAAATTATTTTTTTTTAAAATTTTTATTTATATTTGGCAATGATTATTTATTATTTAACAGTATTATTTTTTATATTGTAATAAATTTCCAGTTTTTTAACTATTTTAACATATGTTTCATGGAAATATAACTAATTAATATTCACGTCAAGTTTAATATCCAGCTCGTAATTTGCATTCCTTTGTATTAGTGTTTGTAATCTCTTTTATCAAAAATGTAAAATAACAAAAAAATTGAAATTATTTTTTTTTAATTATTAATTATTCCATAGTAATAACAATAATAAAAATAATATATTAATAATAATGACAGTAATAAAATAATAATAACATTATTATTAATAATAATAAATAATAATAATAACATTATTATTATTATTAATAAATAATTATAATAATAAAAAAATATATATTGAATTTTAAACAGAAAATTTTGTCTTATCTTCCTGTCTTAGTCAAGAAGTATTTATATCCGTGTTTTCCTTCGTCCGCACTTAACATTTTGTACAAACATTGAGAAAAATTAATATTTTTTAAATTAAAAAATTTTTTTATTAAACTAATTTTTTATCTTTTATTAAAAAAAAAGCAAATTTTCTTTATTGAGATATGTGAGCGAAAAGAAATCGTATCGCATATTATTGTATATATGTATACAAATGGAATAAAAAAAAAAAAAAAAAAAAAAAGGCGGAAAAGGCAGTGTCGAAAACGGAAAAAGGCGATGGCACTGTGATATCAATGGCGGAGGGCTTTCGCAGGGAATGCAGCTGTGCGACGAAACGAGATTAACGCTATAAATACCGACCGCCAAACGAGAGAGGAAAAGAGACAGAATGAAAAAAAAAATAAAAATAAAAAAAGAGAGAGAGAGAGAAGCTCTTTCTCTCTCACTCTCGCATGCGAAACTCTTGTCGATGACTGTACCTTTAAAACATTGGAAATAGTTATGGCAGTGGTTCTCATTTTATGCCCTGAACGGTCCCCCCCCTCCCCTCCCCCTCTCCAAAGATTCCCGCAAGCCCGCCCTCGTATCGATTCCAATTATATAACTTTACTCAATTTGCTGCCTCTTACCAAACTAGTTTTATCTTAATAATTATACGGCTCAAGAAAAATAACACATTTTATATAATTTAATAAAATGTTTAGAGAAAAAAAAAAAAATTTTTTTTTCACAGCTAATTAAAAGAAAATTTATTTATTAAATAAAATTATTAATATTTTATTATATTTTTATTATATTATTATTATTTTATTATTATTATTATTAATTTAATTAATTATTTTATTAATATTTTATTAATAAACAAATTATTTTATTAATATTATATATTAATATTATAATTGTATTATTTAAAAAAAAGTTGTATTTATAATATTAAAATATTGAATCGTATTTTTTGTGAATACGATTTCAAAATATTCGAGATCAGCAAATAATTATAATATTTAAAAAAAGAAGTGTGAAACTAAAGAAATATAAAATACGGTGACGATATATAGTGTAAAATGTTTTTTCATTATGTAAAAAGAAAAAAAAAAGTCATTAATTTTAAATATAATGACTATAATAAATGAATATATTACAAAAATCATCGACCAATATACATGAAAAAGTATATAATAATTATTAGATTTCATTTATATATATGAATATTATGACAAAACATTATTACGTTCTTTTAAATTCAACATTTAAGTATATAGTTTCTTGTCACTTTAGTAATCATGACTCTTGCTCACGTTGTTCAATTATGAAAAATAAGCCGCTGGAAATCTTACTCGATTTATTGTCAAGGTTATTATATAAACTTAACGCGAAATACTTTTGCAAATTGTTTCCTTTCTTTATAAAATCGTTTTAATAAATAATTATATATTTATAAAAAAATATAATAAAATAAAACGTAATTAAATATAATAATATAATAATATAAATAATAATAATAATAATAATATTAAATAAAAAAATAATAATATAATAATAAAATAATAATAATAATAATAATAATATAAATAATAATAATACTATAATAATAAAATAATAATAAAAAAAATATAATAATAATATTAAAATAATATGAGGTTATTATACAAATTGCGAGTATATTAATATTAACCTAGTTTTCATTTTACTTTTAAATAAATATATAGCAGATAAAATAGAATAATAATTGTATGTTATAAAACTGCGTGAAAGCAATGAAGAAAAAGTATAAAAATATATATATATAAAAAATTATTGATATATCAAATTCAAAAAAAAAGGGACAGTAATTTTTCATTTATAATAAAAATTATTTTTATCCCATTAACTTGGAGATGTTTAATACCAAATAAATATGGCACTTATATATATATATATATTTTTTTTTATGTATATACCTTTTTCTTGGTTGGAGTTGAGAAATATCGCTTCTTGTATTAATTGACTGTGCTGAGTTGGCCGCGGGAGGTCATGCGTATATAAATGATAGTTTATGTTTTTCTCTTTTTGTATTTTTTTTTCTTTCTGCATTCTTAAAATGTAAATGAATATTTTTTTTTTTCTAATTAATAACTATCAAAAGCACGACAAAATAATTAATAAATTGTTATCTCTATATATATATTCTATTTTTATTATCAAAATATAAATTTCTGATAATTTCATATATCTTGGAATAAAATTTTTTTTTTTTTTTTATTAATCGTAAAAGAGGCGAAATTGTGCATGTGACGTTTCAGCAGTATTTCTCATTATTTTCTCTCTCTCTCTCTCTTTTCTTTTCTTTTCTTCCTGCTTCCTACTTGCCTCACCCGACAGATGGCGGCATATTTCTCTCAAATAGATTTGCTACACGCTATCGACAAAAATTTTCTCATTTTTTCTACCAATAAAAAGGTTTTTTTTTTAATAATTTAATTCAAAAAAATAAAAATAAAAATGATTCAAACTTTTTCTACTTAAAAATTAGAGACCAAAATTATGCGATGCAAACAATTGTCAATTTCAATAAATGATAACAACTTTTATAGATTAGATTAGATTTTAATTCACGCATTTTTTTTTTCTATTCTTTTTTATATATTTATTTTCGATATTAATATTTATTTTGTTTTATTGATGAATAATTTTGATATTATTTTTTATTGAATTTTCTAAGCTTTATTTATTTTTAATTGTAAATATAATATTTGGAAATTTAATATCATAATATATGAAATACTATATTGAATATATTGTGATGGTTAATTATTTAAGCCATATGATTAACGACCTATTGGTATAATAATTTGTTGTCTATGGATAGATTGTTACATTGTTAATATTCGCAGCAGCGTGCTTGAATTTTGTATATAATTAAATTATCTAATTTTCCAATTTCGAAAATTCAAAATGAAAAAAAAAACTGAAATTATTCTTAGAGTGTTTTTTTTTTATATTATATATATATACATTTATTTCTATTTTTATTTATATATTATTTTTTATATTTTCTAAAAATGTTATTTTAAAGGTTATATATAATTAAATAAAAATTTATTTCTTTAAACGTTATATAAAAATTTGAATAATTTTTTTTTATTTAAACATTGGAGGTTAATATTGACGTTAAATAAAAGAAAAAAAAAAAAAAATTTTTGTGAAAATTAATTTCTCCTTGAGCATACAAATTTCCACAGTTGCTTTTATATAAATCTAGTTTTTCCAAGGAGAACTTGGAGGCAAGACAGTGTGTCACTTATAGACCGATTCCTTTCTTTTCGCGGATTTTCTCTGTTTGCTTTACCCATACACACATATATCACTTTTATATACGTGAACGCTATATACACATTTATATATAAATTTCTATATATGTGTGTGTATATATGTATCCTATACACTGCCCAGGAAATATTCTCCCGAGATATATCCCCACCTTTTTTTTTTTTTTTTTACCCAGCTTCCCTCATTCTATCCAGGTATTTCTGTCCTTTATTTTTTATCTCCTTTTTCTCTCTCTCTTTCTCCCCCTCATCAATTTGATACGGCAAACGATGGATTTTAAACACATATATATAAAAATTTGTTTTCTCTTTTTATAAACGTTTTAAATTGCATAATTTATTTTCTAACCTCGAGAATTAAAAAAAAAGAAAATTCCTTTTTATTTAACAGTAAAAAAAAAAAAATTTCCTAATAAATGAAAATTCAATAAAAATTCTCATAGAAATTTAATTAAATAAAATTTTAATCAAATTTTTACTCACGTTATAGTTTCTCTCCTCTGCTCAACCCGAGGTTGTTCTGTAAATAAAAAAGAAAATTACATTAATGAAAAATTATTATTTTTTTTTAATATTTAATATAAGAAAATAATAGAACTTAATTTAAAAATAGATTTTAATTTCGAGAATGTTAATTAAAGGAGAGAGGAATAATAATTTTTTTTTGAATTTTTTTTTGCAGCTACTGGGCGGTGCTTGCTTTAGCCATGGTCCATACACGTTTTATAAAGCCGTGCGAATAGAAAATGGTCGTGTTCTTCGACTAGGAAGTTTTTTCTTGACGAAACTTTGGAGCGACGCCGATCTCGTCAGCATCGGTGAACTTCAATTACTCTGGCTTGACAGCCGGGGGCCAAACACACCCCTTGCCTCATTGCGGCTCTACTTCCTGCCGGAAAACACCCCTGATGGACGAAGGGACACGCACGGAGAGGTAAGAAAAAATTATCAACACAATGCAAATAACTAAAATTTTATTGACCTACTTATATTGTGTTACCGCCTTTTATCACATATATATTATTATATTGACAAAACCAAATTTCGTTTTTTTTTCTCCTAATTTCACCTCACACTACAAAAAATATCGCAATTTTTTTTTTTTAAAATAATTTTTATTATATTAAAAAAAAAAAAAACTAATAATTTTTTCTGGGAAAATTTATTTATAAAAAAAAAAATTGATTTGATTCAAGTAATTTATTTATTATAATAATAATTTATAATAATATTATATAATAATAATTATAATAATATAATATTATAATAATAATTATAATAATAAAATATTATAATAAAAATTACAATAATATATTATAATAACAATTATAATAAATATCATAATAATTATTATACAGTGAAAAAAAAATTTATTTCATTCAAATACTCGATTGACTATTATCAAATAAATATTTACTTGAACCAAATAATTATTATTTGACACAATTAAATAGTATTTATTTCAAATAGAGAAATTATTGGTTCAAATACAATTTATTTAATTCAAATAAAAATTATTTGGTTCAAGTAAATATATTTATTTGATAATAGTCAAGTAATCGAATATTTGAATTAATTTTTTTTTTCTTTATAATAATAATAATAATAATAATAATAATATAATAATAGTATAATAATAATAATAATATAATAATAGAATAATAATAATAATAATAATAATAATAATAATAATAATAATAATAATAATAATAATAAATAGTTTATTGACAAATTTTTATTAATTATTATTTGATTTAATTGATATATATTTTTCAAATATAAAAATTCTTGGTTCTAATATACAGTTTATTTAATTCATAAAATTATTTCACATTGGAAAAAAAGTATATATCATTGATTCAAGAAATAATATAATTTACTTATTTGATGCACTAATTTTCCTGATTTACTTCAAACTAGTTAAATTTTTTACTTGAATCGAGAAAATTATTTAATCAAATATATACAAAACAAAGTAAATGATTTTCTTGAATCAAATAAATTTTTTTTTATATTTATATTATTTATTTATATATATAAAATTTATAATTATATGAAAAGAAAATTTATTTTAATTATTAATTTTATTTTTTGAATTTAATAATAATTTAATAATTGTTTTTTTTAACGTTCATTTAAAATAGAGATAAAATTTGATTCTTGATTTTAATGGAAAGAAAGAAACATTTTTATTCAAATAGAATATAACAATTTTTGTACTTAAAAATAAATTCTGCTTTTCCATTTCGTTTCACGAGCGAAGGCGCTTTTATTTTTACGATCAAAGGCTTCTCTCTCTCTCTGTCTCTCTTTCTCTCTCTCGACGCGCGCGCGTTAGCCAAAAATATATATATATCACTATATCGTAAAATATGATTTGTCAATAATCCCCCTCACCTCCCACAATAGTTAATGAATAGATATTTTTTTGGCATCAGATTAAAGAATATAAAAAGAGAAAGAGAGAGAGAGAGAAAAAATAATTTTAATTTGCCAGATAATTTTCAATATTCTGTTCCATCAAAATATATAATGTTGTGATCGCCAGTTGATTTTTTTTTTCATGAATTTTTTTATTCAGAATATATGGGTATTATTCAGACTGACGAGTGGTGGATGAAGACAGACTCTGGCGACAAGAGAGAGAGAGAAAAAAAAAAGATGTAAAGGGGGTTATATGAAAGAAAAAGGGATTGTGAGTTTGAGGGGTCGTGAATGAGAAAAAGAAGCGAAATAAGCTGCGCACTATATATATATCTATATAATATTCAACGTGCTAAACATTCCAAATTTAAAAATATTTTTGTCAAATATAACAAATGTTTCAATATAAGAAAAATATTTTATTCAATTTTGGATACTTTTTCACATTTTTTAAATCTCTGTTTATATAATATAAAAAAAATATTTACAAAGAGAATATATATATATATATATATATAGGAAAAAGTTCTATCCGGAAAAATTTTCTTTTCCCGTGAGTTTCTCAAATATTCATCTTGATGTTTTCTGTGTTTTCTCTCTCTCTCTCTTTTTCTCTTTCTCTCTCTATTCAAATATTTTTATATTAATGGTCTTTGAAAGAGAAAAAACTGCAATTACGTTAAAAATGTTAAAAAGTCATTTTTATTGAATGAAACTTTTTATATTAAGTCTCCATTTTAAAAAGTATATCCAAATATTTTAAATATCTTTTTAATTTAATTTCTTTAATTCTTTTAAATCTTTTTAATATTTAAATTTAATTATATAGAATCTATTTCTTAAAAATTTAATTCTCCGTCATTTTTTAAATAATTAATTATATATTTAATTATAATATAATTTATAATTCTATATTCAATTATTAATTATTAATTAATAATTTATAATTTATATAATTACATATTGAATCTATTAAATAATTAATTATTTATTACAAAGAAATTAAATTTGAAATATATAAGAGTCAAATTTTTCTTTCTAAATATAAAACTCACTCACATACATATGGCACATTTGTTTTAACGAGGGACATTGTCAATTATGGCTCCCCGCGTCTCCCGCAACTCCATATATACTCTCAGTTTACAGCTCGATTATTCAGCAGGGCAAACGACGGGTCACATAATAACGTGTCACGGGCAATATGATTTCTATTGAAGGGTTAACGACTCCATTTCATTTTCAAATTTCGATTCTTCCAAATATATTATATGTTTAAAAATTTTTTTTTTTTTTTTAACAAATTAAAGTAAATTTAATATTTGAAAAAAAATTTCGGCAAAATATATATGTATTATATATACGAGAGGGGGGGAAAAAATAATTAATTATATATAGTATAAAGAATTATATATTTAAAAAATTATTATATAGCTCCACCCTTTCTATTTTTATCGCTGAGTCAAATAAGATTCACTCGCGTGCAACCAGCGTGAGTATATAATTGCTATAGTAATTGCTATTTTTTTTTTCTATTTTTTTTTCTTTTTTTTTCATATACGCGAATCGATTAGTCTCTTCCTTGTCACGTTTTGACTTATTCTCGTCATTACAAATTGACTCTGTTGAAAAACATCATTGACACAAGGGTCATTAAAAAAACTTTTATCTCTCCTTTCACTCAACTATTCTTTCTCATTTTCTACAGTTTCCTTCTCTCCCCCCCCCTCCTCCCATTTTATAACTTTCACTATATAGTCAATTCGTTATATTATAATTCATTTAAATTACCGTAAAATAAGAAATCAATTAAATATATTTTTTCCCAAATTTAATAAAATAATAAATATAATCATTTTTTGTTTAATGAGAAAAAAATAAATTTAGCATAAATTACTATAATACTATAATTAAATTATTATTATTATTATTTTTGTATTATTATTATTTTATTATTATTACTATTATTTAATTATTATTATTATTATTACTATTATTTTATTATTATTATTATTATTATTATTATTATACTATTATTTTTTTATTTTTATTATTGATTTGAAAGAATTTACTGATTTGGCAAAAAAAAAAATTACCTGTGAATAATTTTTTTCGAATTACTATTATTTAATTATTATTATTATTATTATTACTATTATTTTATTATTATACTATTATTTTTTTATTTTTATTATTGATTTGAAAGAATTTACTGATTTGGCAAAAAAAAAAAATTACCTGTGAATAATTTTTTTCGAATTACTATTATTTTATTATTATTATTATTATTATTATTTTTATACTATTATTTTTTTTATTTTTATTATTAATTTGAAAGAATTTACTGATTTGGCAAAAAAAAAAAAAAAAAATTACCTGTGAATAATTTTTTTCGAAGGGGAATTTTTTTTTTTAATATCGTGTAAGTAATTTTGTTGCTTAATTTCTTGTGGTCACGCGCGTCTCGTAAAGGTGCTTTATTTATACTCTTTTTTTTTTTTTTGTATATTATATAAGTATATATAACATTGTGTTTGTATATATGGAATTTTTTTTTTCTTTTTTGGAATGCACATACGAGAATGTTGAGAGGGTTGGAAAAAATATTACATAAATAAAAATCAACTGCGAATGACTTTGCCCGATATATTTATATATATATATATATATATATATATATATATATATATATATGGACGTGATATACATTTTGTATATGCTTATTAAAATTTAAACACGCAAACGGAAAAAAAAACCATTTAGTGATGACAAATTATAATTGCTTTTTTTCTCGAATTTTTAATTACACTTTACTCTCATTAGTTAAAATATTCAACCAAAAAGTTTCATTCTATTTCTTCTAATATATTTGTAAGTTTTAATTTTTTCCATAAAAATAAAAAAATAAAATAATGAATATTTTTAATAAATTAAAAAATAAATAATTGACAAATAATAATAAATAAATACTAAATAAATACTAAATAAATACTAAATAAATACTAAATAAATACTAAATAAATACTAAATAAATACTAAATAAATACTAAATAACTACTAAATAAATACTAAACAAATACTAAATAACTACTAAATAAATACTAAATAAATACTAAATAAATAATAATAATAATAATAATAAATAAATAATAATAATAATAATAGAACAAAATTGTAAATTTTAATAAAAAGAATAAAATAAAAATTAAATTTCCTTTTTTTTTGCACTTCAATCACGATCCGAATATGTATTTTAAACTAAAATACTACTATTTTGCTGCGCGAGAGGATTAATTCTGTTGTTAAAACTTTTTTTCCTATTTCAAAACTGTATATATAATTTTTTTTCTCAAAAAAAATAAAAAAATAGAAAAAAAGTTTATTTCTTCTAAATAACAATTTTGGAAAGATCAATAAGTACTTCTCCTAATGGATATACTCGACGATTCGATTTAATTCACTCAAGTGATGCTTGCGCGTGGGTCGACAAAAAAAAAAAAGGAAGAGAAA